CTGCCAACTTGTTTTGCCGGAGGGTGCAAACCCGCCACTCCTCGAGGGGACAAAGCAGAATTCGCAGAACACTGTTCCCGACATTGACAAGGAACGGACGCCGGCCAACCAACAACCATTACAACCTGGCGCATCGAATAAGCAAGGTGTGGTTGTTGGTGGCGTGGTTGTCGGTGCACGCAACCTTCTCTCTGGAGCCGACGAGGCTGGTCAGCCGCCCATGAAGCTGAACACGCCTAAGAACTACTTCAAAGGAGATGAGTTAGACACCGAGGCCCTGATTGACCTGATTGCCCAAGCTGCTAGTAAGGCTAACGGCGGTAAAGTTGAGATGAGGACTCTGGAGGACCTGGAGAGGATGGAGGTGGATCCCAAGGACGTTGAAGAGATGCGGGCCGAGATGGAGAGGATCGCTGGGGATCTGGGTTGGAGGTTGGAGATTGTGGAGCTTCCAAACGAAAATGTCCGAGAGTTAAGGGGATACGTGGACAGCGTTGAAGAAGCCGAAGACGATTCCGACGACGAGGACGAGAAGCCCACGACCAAGGACTCTGATCAGTCTGGCAAGTCCAAGGCAAACACCCCCAATAGAGCGGACAAGCCTCACAAGAAGGAGGAGGGTAGCAAGGAGAAGTTCTTCAAGGACGAGCTGTAGAGTGTAGCAAGGGGGTATTTTCGTTTTTGGTTTCTTGGCATTCATGGACGGCGTTTTGAGGTGGACAAGGAACCACACATAGGTTTATTATTGCTTACTTTATGATCATTACTTTGCAAACACTGCCTCATTTAGCTGTTAGTGGTGATGTACTTGCCCCTCTGAAGGAAGAAGAGCCGGACTGCCCCTTTTATTTAGGGTTCTCTCAGTGCTCCGGTTTCTCTGGTTCATGGTGAGAGGACTTAGTTAGAAGGCTGATTTTCTCCTCAGTTTATGCAGAAATTGCATCGCATTACTGGGCCTTATTGCTTCCAGCCCAACAATGTTTGTCTCAAAAACATCCCTTCCGCGACTCCCTAGGATGAGCATCTACTCAGCTTTGACACTTTGCACCTCCATTAAATTAGGGGTCCTGAGAGATATATTGTAGACCATGACTTCCTCTCCGTATTGATCCCCCGCGCTGGTCTGGTGGTGGTGTCTCCTTGGTGCAGCATCTCCTCCATGACAAGCAGCAACTGGGGCATGCTCGAGGTAGACTTGGGTTCCCCGCGCAATGAAACAAGCTATCGGAAACCACGATCATATTTTTTTGCCGCCAAAAATTTGTTCGCCCACTGCTTGAAATTCCAGGTCTGGTCTCGGTGCGCGGATTCGGGGCCATAGCCTTGCCGACGAGAGTTGGCGGCTGGGCTCCATACGCATATCTTCTCTTCAACAGCACCGTCTTTTTCCAACACGAAGGGTTTTAGGGCTTCTAATACCAGGGATGTGTTTCAACTCGACTTGGACATTCCACTGACCGAATTCATAAAAATTGACCACATCATGTGCCAATGGGATAGGTAATACTTAGGAAAACAGAACGAAAATATTCAGAACAGACATAATGCTGCATAATGAGGTGTTGAAAATCACACCATATGAAAAAAGACTACGCATTAGATGGACGTCACTGGTAGCCGAAACTGATGGTTCTCAAGTATGAGCGTGATGAAGTCGGGTCCTGAGGATTGCACCGCCTAGTATCCCCAGATGAGACAATCATATTCGATATGGCCATGACTTGAGTTCTAAAAGTACGGTGAATAGGTACCACACTGCTTCGCGAATTGTCCAATACGGATTGCAGGAAATCTTATTACCCAAACTGTGTAAATATGTGAAAGGCACGCAATATGACTCACTGATGGGAGAGTTAGAGAAAAGCCCGATTCCGCATTCATAAGCGGTTTTGTAGGACTGCAGCTTGCCGCCTTGCACACTTCCGGTGCTGTAATCGGCGAGATAAATGACATGACCAGCTGCAGATGTACTTAGATCCGTGCTGGCAACTCTGCCGATAGACTTGGGCGTGAGCGTCATGCTTCCTTGTGGTGAACTCGGACATTTCCCGGTTCAACATTCCAAAGCTACACCGAGAAGAGCTGGGGCAATAGCCCTGGCAAAAAGTTGTATTATTGCAAGACAACCTACAAAAGCATGTTGATTGCGCCGTGAGACTTGCTCATCTCTATAGCTTAATGGCACTCGTTCACGGGACGCGTACAGCTCTACGTTCTTTTGGAAGGCCCCCATCCTGGCGTCATTAAGCCATGAAGGAGGTTCTGATAAGGTGAGTGGAAGGTAGGCAAGGCCAGTCGTTTGAGATGCCTTTGTGTGATGCTACGGTCCCAAGAAACCTGACTGCTTGGTTTTGTGCAACATAAACTGGTTCGAAGCAGGAGTTACGACACGACGCTAGCAGGGAGGACTAAAGCCTTCAAACAAAATGTACCATTTTTCGGCCAAAAGAAAGAACTGGTTCATAGTTGGTGTTTGTGTGAGTTTACAAGCAGGGGTTCACGTAGAGCCAGGCCTCATGGCCATTGACGGCGATTGGAACGCCGTCCTGTGTAGGGCGTACCAGTCAAACAGCAGATTTGCTGGGTTAAACCTGGAAGCCGATCCGCCGGCATGTTGGGGTAACACAGCCGTAGCACTTCCACCGGCAAGATCGAGATGAGGCTGGTAGGCGATCTGACAGCTTCATCATTGAAGGGTCTCAGGTTCCAGTCTCAGTTGGAAGCAGGGCGAACGAGGCCTGCAGGGATATGAATGTACGACCCGCGTGCGGATCCAGATGACACTCGGAATCTGCGTCATGGTAGTCCCCTCCGGTCGAGATTTGGCCAAGACGCGCCGCTGAAGGATGCAAGCACTTAAAGAAAGTAGGCAATTTCAATTTAGTGAGGGTGGTGACAATGAGATTGTCACTTATCAACTAGCAGCACATTCGACAGGGATTTTAATTAGCTCGACGCGAACGTTTTTTTCCAACGCGTTTCGCGTCAATGACCTTTTTCTTCTTCTCTTTTCTTTTTCTTCCTTTTTACTGGAGGGATATGCTACTGCAAGTGGGAATACGTAATTGAGGGGTTAGCGTAAGGGTCAATAAAGCAGGGCGCTCGGTCCGATATACTCTGTAGTGGCTGTCCAATACCGGGTAGGGGAGGTTGAGACAGACAAAAGCAAAGTGTCTTTATGGAACATAGCTGGGAAAAAGGCCGAACGGTGAAGACGGGAGGCTGCCGTTGGAGGAACACGCGCGAAGTCGCTGCATCGGCTGTAAGTCGTTCGTGAACAGACCTCAACTCTCGACGGCGGGCGGCTTTGCGCTGCTATTGGCGGGGTGCGGTACGCGACGGACCGTTTGGCTGTTCCGGATCTAGAGCAACGCTGTGACAGGGACAAGCAGACGAGTTTGCCTGACTATTGATGGCGATAGTCTGTGGACAAGAACAAATCCAGGGAGCCAGTTGGTTGATCTATCCCCACCAACCGACACAGTGTGCAATCAATGCAGGGGTGCACAGCCAACCCCCACCAGGCAAAAAGCAAACAGTCTTTTGGCGTGCTCCTTCGTTCGCAGGCGGGAAAAGGGGAAAGAGGGTGGGTTGAAATGATGCATATGCAGGCAGCCCGTCGCAATCACAGCGCTGATGCCGCAGGTTGGCTGTTGGTTGGCCGCCCATGCCATGATATGAGGAATTGGGTTATATGTCGCCGCGGGCAACACCAATCTCACCCTCGCCTGCCGTGGCGAATCAGCGAGCCCATCACAGCGGCGTAACCGCTGGGAACTGTTCCATGTTTGTCTCTTGCTCAGTCCTGTGACAGACGGGCGGGAGTACATCCGGCTGCTAGGATTTCCTTGCAGTCCACTGGGTCGGAAGCCCAGGTCATTGGACACTCGGATCAGGGGCAGATCCCCGTGGCCCACCCACTGTGATGTAGCCTTCCCCACGGCCTAGCAGCGAAGTACAGTTTGGCCGGTCGTTTCAGGTCCCAGATGTTCTCTAGCTCTAGGTACGGCACCTAATGAGGCATCAACCGTGGCGAGACGTCAGAACCAGAGAAAAAGAAACGAAAGCGAACCCACCGCAGGAGGCCGACCAGGCTGAGCGAATGGAGATTACTGTCAAACAAAATGGGCAAGCAAGCGGCGGGAGGCCATGCTTCGGAGGAATGCTAGCCGTTCCTGACTACTGGTGTTGGTTGATCGCCCAACCGTGGGTCAAGCTGCTGAGAGCTGTGGATTGAGGACATGAACCCAAGCTGCATGATCTCACGAACAATCACGGCGGCCCCACAGCCAATTTTTTGGGCTGTCCGTGCGCTACCGCAGCAAAAGCAGAGGGAGGAGCTTACTGCCTTCCTTGTACCGAGCTTACCTCTTTGGCACTAAACCCTGCCGCAGCCCGCCAGCTTCAGCACAGCTCAGGGCACAAGTGAACCACGGTCCAAGAAGGAACCCATCCAGCGAGGACCTGTCTTTCTCACCAAACCCATGTGTCCCCGAACATAACATGCATGGATCTCCTCTACCTACGAGGTCTGTGTCCCTTCGTCGCCTGACCTACTAGTTCAACTCTGCCGTCCCGCCAACCGACGTACGCAATCCCTACGACTCCTGGAATTCGATCAGCTTCTGCTCTCCTATCAATTCAATCCAACCTACATCACCCGCAGCCCGGAAGTATTTGCTTGCTTGCCGGCCTCAATCACTGCATCAGCTCTGGACAGCCCCTTCGCTCAGGCAATCCAACGACTGGCTATTTTGTCGAGATGCTGTGCATGCTCGGCACTCCCTCCCTCAGCCCAGTCGTTTGATCGGCTTGCCACAAGAGAATAACACAAACACCTCCAGCATTCCAGAATGGACGGAGCTCAATCGCTTCCCCGAGAGAAATCTCGACCGCCCTACCCTCGCTCAACATCCCGCTCCTCTACCAGCACAAGCAATTCCCGACATCTCTCCCAGAGCGCCAACTCCTCGACCACCCACATCACCAATTCTCCCAAGATGTCGAGCAGTGCCCATTCACAACACCTCTACTACCATGCCTCGTGCTCCAGATCCCCAAACTCCCCGAGACCCTCCTCCCAACAGCTGTCCCGAGATAGCCCTAAAGAACCCGCCCGGCAGACCCCAGTGTCGTCCCTCCTCCACGAGCGGCTCCAGAAGGAGCGTCAATCAGAGAGCGCAAAGCTGGCTTCGTCTCGACTGAACAATGAGTCGAACAACTCCCTTGACAAGATGTCGAACATCCAGAGGTCACCTACTAGGAGTGTTGGTCTCGATATCTCTAGGCCCAATTCTGGTGCTGGCGGGGGAGAGCCGGCAGCAAGAAAAGGCCTTGGCATCAAGGAGATGGAGCATGTTGTATCGAGCCTACACAAGCAAAACTTCGACCTCAAGTTAGAGCTATACCACCGCAGAGAAAGGCAGACCATGCTGGAAGAGAACATGGAAACCTTGCGATCCGAAAAATGCGCAGCCGAGGAGCTGAATAATAAACTGGCGGAGGAGGTTGAGAAGCGTGACAAGGCGGTGGAAGAAGCCGTTGCTATGATTGTTACACTGGAGGCAAGGATTGAAGAGTTGACCAAGGGCAACTCTCACCTGGGACGGCTGGCCGAACCCCAGGGCCTTTTTAGCCCTCCTGATGTTGACTATAGTTCCCAGGGTCTTGCTCCCGCACCCGAGATTATCGATCCTCGATGGATAGACTTTGACGGCAGAAGCATCAACCGAATGCCCAGCTTTCTTTCGGACCAGAGCGAGAACACCGAAAACCTCAGAAATGTATACATCGGTGCTAGAGGCAGCCTCATCAGCCTCCCTCGCGTGAGCGAAAGTGCATTAGACATGCACAGCGACCCAATCAATGGCTTGTCTAGCCCGACACTAAGCGTCCTGAGCGAGAGCTCCTTCGTCAGTGTCTACGGTCAGAAAGGTCAGGATCTGACTCTCCCTTCAACGATCGACGAGCCGCTTTCCCTTGATGGTATGACGCATGATATGGGAAAGCAAGATGGCACGGGCCGTTTGAGAGTCACTACTGAGGCTCGGCCGGTTGATTCCCGCACAGAGGGCCCAACCTCGCGAATGCACGGGTCGAGCCAGTTCCAGCCGATAGCAAGCATCATGGGTGGTTCACCGTTACAGAAGATTGAAAAGATGGACCCAGGTTACTCCCCCAGGAGACAAACTCCCCAACCCACCAACCGCGCAATGAAGCCGCCGCCGACGTCCGACGGCACTAAAGTTGCGCCGTTACACGGTCGTCGGGCTACTCTGGAAACGAAGAGGGAGACTCTGCGCAGAGTGATCACTGATACGCCTGGCGGTGTGAGCCTGCATGAGTCTGGCATGCCGCCGACTCCTGACACGATATCGAGCGCAACTCTCAATCGTATGAAGCATTCCAATGACACACTTGGCAATCGCAGCTTTAGTGGTGGTTCAGAACGGAACGGGTATCCCATGGAAGCTGCAGACAATAAGGGTGCGACGCCGACGAACAACTCCCCTGCAGTTGTTAAGCCTGCTCACAATCATAAACTGTCTCACAAGTCACCAGTACTTCATACTGTTGACCCATGGAGTCACCTTGCTCGGGAAATCCAACGCCCTCGGTCAGCAGATGAGTCGACTGTATCCCACAGGCGGGAGAATAGGTGGTCGATGGATAGCGCTGACACCGAAAACACCTTCGAGTCTAGCTTGGACATTTGGCTACGAGCAGGTGGCGGCAAGGCCCAAGCAGATGACAGAGGCGGCTCCCCAGACATGTTCGGTTTCCCAGGCGGCCCCTCAATGGGTAGCTGGGGAATGAATGCTATCATGGGTCATGGCAATGACCAAAAGACGGAAGGGAATCACGTCGATGGGAAACAGTTGGAAGAGTTGTTCTCAGTCCAGCAGGCGCTCTTTGGAACAGGCCCACCTTCACCTCCCAACAGGCGATCCAGCCTACAGGCTCGCGCTGGTCAGAACAACAGTAAGGCGGAGCACGAACAGAAACTAAGTCAACATGAAGCTGTACAGAAGTTTTTTGGCCGCCGCCCTCGTCATGCGAGAACAAACAGCGACGATGCCCAAATGAGGGCTGGTATGAAGACCCCAGTCCAGGCTCAGTTCTTCCAACCACCGAAGCAGTCTCCCAACTGCAGCCAGAAACGGCAGCAGACTCAATACCCTCCCATTGCGGGACAACATGGTGCTCGGAACGGGCTTACTCGACTTTGGAGGCGATCATTTGGCGCTGGTGCTTCATTGCCCCCAGCTGAAGGCCCCATTCCTGACAACAGTGAAATGCCAGCCAGGGATGTACCAAATGCGCCTCAGACGCAAACGAGTGTGAGCCGGAACGTTGCATTGCTGGACGATGACCGTTCGGGAGCGACACCGCCACCCATCGCCCGTGAAGACCGACATGTTCAGGGTCCTGGGTTAGATGGAGATGGGTATAAGGGCGAGATCCAGTCACCCACTATGACTGAAATCCAACCTATCCCGCAAGGGGCTTTTGATTCCTCGCAGCATTCTGAGGCGGGCAACCTGCCCTCAGGCCCAGCTACTGGTGCTAGGAGAAAGTGGCTACCTGGATTCGGTCGTGCAGGTAACCTGAAAGTGAGGACCAGCTAGGGGCTGCGTCGAGACCGATGGTTTTCTCTTTGAAACTAGGAAGAGAGCACAATACATTCAACCGATCAACGAAAGGTGACTCCTTGCTTGAGGCAGGGAGAGCTGGCTGAAGTGGCGTCTGAAGCGTCATTGTTTTGGACTGACCCACATGGACCACGTTGCAGGCGTTGGTGCAAGTTGGGCGGCTCGCCCTAACATTACTAAACTAATAAGGAAAAGTCTAAGATACCAGAAGCTTTCTGCTTCCGTACCGCGCACCGAGAATCGGCGGCGATTACTACGATTAAGACACACCAACTGTGTGGCATTTGACTTTCCCTATTCATAATCTTTATTTTTCACTCATTTGAACCAAAAAGCAAGGGCGTGTCATTCCCCCCTCTTTTATTTCCTCTGTTCTTGGGGGGTCAGGCTATTGGGTATTTGACCAAGCGTGCAAGGCGGTGTTTGGGGTATTGGGCATCTGGATGGTTTTTGTTTGTACTGGCACTTGGGAGTTTGGGAAGCTGAAGAATAGATCGACTGGCAGAATCACTTCACAGGATAGGAGCAGCGGCGTATTTCAAGAATGATTTGTTTTTTATTTCCTCAACCAGGAGTTGGTTTCCAATGCTATTTTGGTATTTCTATTTGACAGGTCTTAAAAAAAAAGGAGAGAATCATGTTCCTTCGTCTTTGAACAAAGGAAGGCCCATGTGTCCATGGTACGTGAGAGATGAAGTCCCGGCTCCAATCCAGTTGAATTGTTCTTGACAATTCTGAGTGATTGTTTGACAGAGAGCCCTGCCACTTTTTCCCTTCTTTTCCACTTCCACCCCGGGTGGAAGTAAAGTGGGTATTGATGCTAATGAAGGGAGCAAAATAGAAAGTTGCAGACAAGGCTCAAAAAAGGAAAGAATGGAAAACAGAGAACACTGTTCATCTATTTGCCGAGAGAGAGAAGATAGAAGAAGGGGTTTGACCGGCTTTAGATGGCCCAGTCGACGGCAGAGTTGCCGACGCCGAGGTCGCCCACGGCGGCCTGGAAGGCGGCGGGGGAGAGGTCGATGTGGGTGGCGTCGCAGGCCTGGCAGCGGTCGACGATGGTGACGACGACGGAGCCGGCGGGGCCGGTGACGGTGACCTTTTGGTTGCAGACGACGGCGGTGTCGTAGCTCATGGAGACGGCGGCGACGAGGGTGTCGTCGGGGTGGACGACGCCGTCGCAGGCGGCCATGCCCACGCCGGGGTTGTAGTAGGTAGCGGTGCCGGAGCCGCGGGAGGCGAGCTGCTCAACGGGGGCGGCGAGGGCCAGGGGGAGGGCGGCAATGAGGGTGGTGAAGAGCATCTTGAAGGTGGTTTTGGGGGTGAAAGATAGAAGGTTGTTGGTAGTGAGAGTGAGTTTTGTTGGCTTCTTCGAGAAGAGAATGTGTAAGACCTGCCGGAGGCTTGTTGGAAAGAGTTTGTTTGGAAGAGGGAATGATTGGAACTGTTGGATGATGAGAAGAAAAGGGAATCTACGGGGGGATCATCGAGGGGTTTATATACAGGATTGGGGGATGGGAGGACATGCTGGGCGAGCTGTCACTCGTACAGACCTATCTCACACTCACAGCTGCCAACTACAAGTACCATGGTACTCCACCAGACTGTGATCCTGTAGTAAAGTCCGCAGTTCCGCAGTTCGGATGAGGGCCGTGGTTGGGCTTCTCTGATGGTGTGTGGGTGGTGTACACGGGAATAGAGCGAACGTTTGAGCTGTGTGGATGCATGGTTCCGTTCCTGTGCCTTTTCTCGCACGGCACGACCCGGCCAGGGCTTCAATTGGCCAGGGACAGAATGCAATGGCAAAGCCTAACACGGCTAGCACAGGTACATTCGGACAAAGATTTCTCTTTTTGAGTGTGGTGGCCACGCGGTTGCTGGTACCTGAGGTGCTAGGAACCTTGCCCGACAAATCAGATGTGTCCCTGCCCGCAAAACCAGGCACTAGAAGAGAAAAAATGGGAAGGGAGAAGGGAGAATGTTCGGGAGAAAAACTATAACAGCCACCGGCGACTAGGAAGCGCCTCGGCGGCCCAAAGATGCTCCCTTTTGGAATGGTCCGGAAACATGGTGTGGTGTGGACATTGTTGTGCCTGGTTTCAAAGGAGGGCGGGCACATTCAGGTGTTGCCGCGTGCGGGCCGGCCACATGTTCTTGCATTGGCCCAGGCGACGATCGCCCGGATCTTCTGAGCGAGGTACAGATGCTGAACGGGTTTGGAATACATGGTTATCCTGGCTTAAAGTGCGGGAAGGGCAGCCGTGAGCTCACATCAAGTCGGAAGATTCCTTGAGCCGCGAGATGTCTTATTCATGGAAGCAGAAGCTATAGTTTGAAGCAGACAACCAACTTACAAATCCTCCACAGGGCACAGCGTCTCTTGACTACGACATGGTTCTCCCTGATTCGTTGCGTAGTGCGTTACGTTACCGCTGGCAAGGGTGAGTGTCCCGATGAGGCGTTTTCTCCTGGGAAGCAGCCAATGGAGCACTTTGCCGTAGCAAGAGAGCACCTTTCCTCTTTCGAGCTTGGAGGTCGATCAAAGCGACTCTTGAATCGATCGGCGTTGGAGTTCCGGTTTGTCAGATGGAGCTTGTGTATCCCCATTGGTGGAAACGTGCTCAGGGCCCAAAATACATTGCTCGATTTGGCAATAGCACAGGAGCTCGGCTCGCAAAACTCTTATTCAGTTTTTTTCTTCTTTGTGCCTGCTTGCAACGTTGTCTGCTCTGACTGGAGGGTTCTGGAAACGCAGGATGGTCTGAACATGCGTTGAAACATACATGCGTCCTCCACGAAAGCCCCCCTGATCGCTCCCCGTCCACTGACAGCACCGACCAGGGGATCAGTCCCCGTCTCAGACCTGCCTGCAGCTGTCTTCCTGCTGCTTGCCGGGACACGGGCAACACGCGGCAGACGGGGCAGGACGGGGCACGCACACGCGCGGCGCAGAGGCACCCAAGGCACACACCCTCTCTTGATTCCCAAGCCGAAAACTTGCCCCGTTCAGAGTTTGCCCGTGCAGTAGGACAAGTGGAGACGGCGTCAAGGTTGGGATGGTTGTTCCTTTCTGGCAGCTTTGGCCCTGGCATTAGCCCACCGACCAAGGCGGCGCCCACTTTACTTTCCACGCTCATGACAAGTGAAGCAAGTGGCTTGAGGGAGGGATAAGAAAAAAACGCATTCTATTCTTTAACCTATCTCGGACGCGGGTCCGATGCGCCACTGCGATTGAGGCATTGATGGTAGAAGATGGTGGGTGGCAGCGTGGCTTGAACTCTATTTCACACAATACGTCGGAATGAAAAAAACCTTGTTCCTGACAAAGCAAGAAGAGGGTTACAGGAGAGAGAAAAAAGCCTCATATCTCGGGTGCTTGCATTTCATGCTGTTTTAGCTGTGAGACAGACAGCTGCCCGATCCTTTGGCTTTTGGCTGCATATCACCGGTCTGGATGCGTCTACAACCTGCCAGCAATCTCCCGTGTGGCTGTAGTTCAATCATGAGGGTCGCATCAAGTCGCATCGGATCGAATCTGGATTGATCGACTGGGGAAGCACTGCTTAGCACAGCGGATATGTTCTTGGCGGACGCGGGGAGCCGGAGGGAAAGGACCAAGATGGCTTGCTGGAATGCTTGTCTAGTCTAACCGGTCAAGCTCGGTGCCTCGAGCCGACCTCATCGAGTCATTCCGGGAATCGGACATGTATGTTATTTCCGAGGAAAAGCTGGCCGTTGAGAAATAACGACTTATCTCGAGTCATTCTCCGCCCGATGCCCGTAGTTTCGACCCTCGAGGAATCATTCTAGAAGGTGCTTAGTGATCCGGAAGCAATAACCTCGAGTCATTGAGAGGAATCTATTCACTCGATCTTCTCCACCGGCATCGTTCTCAGAGCTACTGGCCGTGGAGAATCAATGGTGCGCTTCTAGCACTTTACGACGGGCTTGTGGGTTCCATTCCCCGGTGTACAGAAGCCATGAATCTTGACAAGAAGGTTCCAGAGGCATGCAAGATTTGTCTCTGTCTTACTCATTCACGTAAGACGGGCACATGAGGAGATGGGAACTTTGGATGCAAGGTGCTTTTGCGCGCATAGACACCCAACATGCGCTGGCCATTGACATTTCATCTTTTGGGCTGGGCTGAAACAGCACGAAAACTACCGCGGGGTTGTGTCATGTTACCCATTAACAGGCTCATGTAGGAATAAGGCTTGGGCCGGTCCTCCCCCATCCACGGGCCCCTCCAATCCGATCCGATGGTCTCACCATCAATGCAAACTCCTTTCTCTTCCCCGCGTACCACCGGTGGGACAAAACATGGGTCGCGTCAGTTGACCCCGGGGTCGCAGATCTGGGCGGTTTTTTCTAATCTAACTTTCTAGTTTAACCAGCCCATCAGACCTGCTGCCACACCAGCCACGACGGGGATGAAGCCCCAGTGCGTCCACTGGCCCTCGCCGGTCTGCGCGCGCTGGATGAAGCCGTCCACGCCCGCGATCCAGAGGCAGGCGACGAGGGACTTGGCAGTGAGCCTGTTGTCGCCCCTGGACCAGATGAGGACGAGGAGGTAGCTGACGGCGATGTTCCTGGCGCCGAAGAAGCGCATGACTGAGAAGATTGTCTTCTTGCCCTCGGGGTCCGCTGGCACTGGGAACTTGACGGACTCGAGCGTTGGGCCTGGCCGGAAGAGCATGTTGAGGCCGAAGAAGGTGGGGATCAGGGAGAGCCCGAGGGAGACGTGGGAAAAGTACGGGTGAGACATGATGATGTGATGGATGAAATGAATGGTGATGGATGGTAATGAGATCTTGACGATGATGAGGTTGGTGATAATTTATATGTTATCTGGCTCCTGTTGTTGGTGGGGAACCGCGAATTACATGCCTCTTGATGAATAGCAAGTGCTTATATCACGTGTCGCGATATCTATCCGAAAGTGTTCAATTGATGGCATCGCTATGCGCCGTACG